GGAAGGGCCCCAAATAAAGTGTTGTTGTCGGTTTACTTGATTGTTTATAACAAGTCTCATGTAGCTGAGGCTGGCCACCAGTTTGCTGGTTCCCGGTTTAAAGATCATTCTTGCTGTGGAGAAAGAATGCTTCAGGTATGTCTGGCTCTTGGGACAATAAGTGGAGGAGGAAACACCCATTTTCAGGGCTACTCAGGCAGGCTATGCACTGAAGAAAGTGTTCTAGCCGGAGGCAGATGGTCCTAGGGTAAGAAAGGATAATGATGCTGAGAAAATATGGTTTTCAGAGAGAATAAGGAGGCATGGGTCTATAGTGGGATCAGGAAATGCCACAGGAGTCAGGTTGTCTCTGAGCATCTCCTAAAGGGGTTCCAGTTTCTGGCAACTTCCCACCTGATATCACCTCACTCATTGCTTGGGTCTGAAACTTGGAGAATGTCTGGCTTGTCTCTCCCCCAGCCTTCACTCAGTGGTCTATAGTGACCAGAATCCCTTTCTTCCTTGCATCATGAAAGCTGCAATACTCCGGACTGCAAGATAAACTCTAGTTAACCTATTGGTTTACCAATGTAAACATGCAAGCCACCTTATCTCCTAGTACCCTAAGTACCCCGTGGACAGTACCCCTCACACACCCTCCTCTCCTGCTCACATTCTGCTCCATGCCTAACTCGTTAGAGAGCCCTGCCTTTCTTATCTTCCTCCCGCATTCCAAGCTCTGTTCTAGAAGGCCTAGTTAGTCTCATCTCCTCTGCCATGCTCTAACCACCACTGCTAGATGTGAAGTCTTTCTGCTCTGGTGTCTTTGGTTTTACACCTTTGTTAGTAACATTCTTAAGTCGTATTATTGTTTTGTGATACTGCAGATCAATCCCATGTTCTCATGAATGCAAAGCAAGTACTCTACCAGTTGAAGTATATCCCCAGTTTCCCTCACAGTTTTTGTTCTGTTTTAGTTTTGGGATTCAGGATCGTATGTGTTCCATGCTGACTTTGAATTTACTTCTTTCCTTTTCCTTCTCTTTTATGTGTATGGGTGTCATGCCTTCGTGTATGCACCATACATGTACCTCGTGCTCACAAGGCCAGGAAAGGGTGTCCAGTTCCTGGAACTGGAGTTGCAAACTGTTGTGAGCCTCCATGTGGGTACTAGGAACTGACTCTGACTCCTCTAGAAGAGCAACCCATGCTTTCAGTGTCTGAGTTATCTCTCTGGTCCCTAAAATTCACTTTTCATTCAAGGATGGTCTTAAACTTCCCATTGGCTGCCTCCACTTCCCACATGTTGGGATTACAGTCTTGTGCCACAAAACCTTGTTTATGCAGTTCTGGGAATCTAACTCAGGGCTTTGTGCATGCTACCTACCATTCTATCAACTGAGCTATACCCCAGCTCTCAAGTTCTTTTTTACTGTATGTATATATTATGTATGTGTATATGTATTATGTCTCTGTGTATATATGTATGTATGCATGTATGGATGTATGCCTGTATGTATGTAGTATGTATGTATGTATGTATGTATGTATGTATGTATATATGTGTGATATCCTGAAAATGACATCCAATTCTCTGGGTATTGCTATATTTCCTGAATCCTAATCCTCAGAGAAATGCTGTAAAGAAGGTGTGTTCATACTAATCTATGTGTGTAGATTGCTAAATTACCAGGGATCTGTAAGTTGATAACCATAGCCATTGTTCATAATTAAACTTTATAACTTATGATCAAATACATTGTGTTAAAACAAAAGGTGTTAACTACTAAAAGCTCATTATTTTAAATTATCCTGGCTACACTTTGCTAATTATCTGTGAAGTGGAGGCGACTTAGTCTATTGTGGCTTCCATGGCAGAAACCCTAAAAAATAGTGTACTCTATGTTTAGAGAACCACATTGGTATTTTAAAACCCGTGAGGATATGTCCTGTTGAACCAGAGCTCATTGTCTCCTACTAGTGCACTACTACCAATTGTACTGGCTTAATAAAATTTTGAAACAGAAAAAAAAAACATAATGATAATAATATGTTCAGGCAGATAGGTGATGGGAGATGTCATTTTGTATATGTTTCTCATACTGGTTAATAATAAAACACTGTTGGCCAATAGGAAAGGAAGATAGGAGGGACTAGGAGACAAGGAGGAAATAGGAAGTAGGAAGGAGGAGTCAAGATGGAGAGTCTGAAGAAAGCAGTATGCCGCCAGCTCCCCGGTAAGAGAAATACGTAGATCAGCAGAAATGGGTTAATAATTTAGGCAGAGCTAGCCGATAAGAAACAAGTACCTGGCCAACAGTATAATATCAAATACAGAGTCTCTGTGCATTATTTGGGACTGGCGGCGCAGCGGCAGGACAATACCAGGCGGCGGACGGAAAAACCCGTACACCTTACAGATAGGAAAAGGGTAAACTAAGCTAGATCAAAGTAGCTTTTTTCCAGAAAGCTAGAGAGTTGGAGGATATGGAGTATGGGAAATGGAAATGCCAGAATGGAAAACTACAAAGTAGAGCTGAGGGTTAAAGGAAAATTAGAATATTATAAAAATTTTAGAAAATTGAGAAATAGCATCTGTCTTCGCCCTGCCTGAGGCCTTTCAGAGAGTGCCATTGATTCAAGGCCAACACCAGAATAAAGCGAGCCTCACATTTATGTTTCACAAAGGAGCTATTATTTTATTCTCTTCTTCTACCAGCCCTCTCAACCCCAACTTCTCTTTACCTCCCATAAAGTCCCCATGTACCTCAGCCCTACACACACAACACACACATACTCACACATACACATTCATACAACACAGAAACACCACTCACACATACACACACACATACACTCACACCACAAACACACATATACCACATACACTCACACACATCATACACACAGACACACACACAATCACACACACACACATAGACACACATCACACATACACACACACATATATATATACACACACACCACACATACACTAATACACACAAATACGCATACACACACACACACACACACTCACACACACCGATCTACAGAGGACCTCTAGATGGTATCAGAGAACCCATAATGGTAACTGATCCTCTGAGAGCTTCAGGGCCTCCTGAGGCCAGATGGGTGTTCAGGGAGAACAAACACACTGACCCTGCTCTTCAGAGACCCAGAAGTTGGGAACTGTCCCCTTCACTGATAGTTCAGCCTGGGGCATTCTGTAAGCCAGTTAGTTGGCCTTGGCCATTTGAATGGTAAAACACCTTTCTCGTCATGTGTTGCAACTAGCTCTCCCTTCTCTGGTTGGCTGTAGCACTAGTAGATGGCAGGCTCTTGTCCACTACTACTGACACCCAGATTGCCATTGTCTGGACTAGCCTACTGTCTCAGTGCTGTCTGATTCCTTAGTAGGGATCCACATCTATCAGATTGTGTTCTTAAACTGTTGGTCTTCCCACATACTCCAATAGCTTTCCGCTGTAGAATTCCCCTGCCACTTTCCTAATGCAGACATTGGGTGGGTCCCTTTCAAAGTCCCAGGGACCTAAGCTGGAGCACTGTCTCTGCCAGCACCCTTCCCTGCATAACTAGGCCTAAAACAGGTAAAAGCCCTGGCTGTCTTTGACTCCCTTTGTCTGCCCATTTGACACCCAGGGTGACTTCTAGGATACTAAGGCATCAAAATGCCAATGGCTGTAGAATGGGTCCGCTGTGGGTTTGTAACTTTTCTGCCTTGATGGATTATAACTCCTCACCCTCTGCCCTCAAAACTGCAGGACACGTGGGATGTTGGAACTGAGATGGTTTTCAATTTCCCAAAAGAGGCTCAGATTCTGTTGGTAGCATCTTCCTGAGTTAGCATGTCCCAGGATTGCAGCCCACGCTCCAGGGTGAGAGACAGCGGGACAGAGGAGGTTCTGATCCCACAGAACTGATGAACCCCCATTTCTTCACCCTTCTCAGGCTCCCATGAGCAATGGCCCCTGGCCCTTTCCCTTGCCCATTCTGGAAATGTCAGGGGTTTCCCTTTTCCCCCTGAAGGGTCTCACAGTGACACTGGTATATCCTGAGTCAGCTGAGTCATGGCTAGGCTTCTGTCTGGAACTATGGGCAAGATCGGGATCAATTTATTGATTGTATGACTGTTTCTTTTTTTTTTTTTTCTTTCCCCTCATGAGCCATTTTTTTGTACTACCATATAGTTTAAATTAAAGAATATACCCCCAAAAATCAATAATAATAGAAACTGTAGAAATTAATGAACATGTGAAAATAGGATCACCCACTCTAGAGAAATCAAGGGATTGTTAAAGAAATCATAGAGGTAATAAGAAAAAAATCCTAGAATCAAATGAGGACAAAACTGTAGCACGAAAAATAAAAAAACAGAGACAGATATTGGGGTTCAAGTTGAAGATAAGAGAAGCAAAGCAGCCAAGCTACCAGAGAGCTCTTACCTCTGCCAAGCTGGGGGATCTTGACCTAAGGTCCTAAAGATGCTAGGTATGAGACCTTGCTCCTATCTTATATACCTCTCTAGCTAGGGTCAAAGACGTAAACTATGTCTCTCTTTTGGACTGATTCACTTTCATGTAGCTGTGGGTGGCCTTGAACTTACAGAGATCCATCTGCCTCTGTCTCCTGAGTCCTGGTATTAAAGGTGTGTACCACCACTGCCCAGCCTCTATGGCTGACTAGTGTGTCTGGCTTTGCATTCTGATCTTCAGTGGCTTTATTAGATCATAAACAATATATCGCCACACAAACTGTACAACTTATCAGAACATTTCGGATATAGCCAAGGCAGCCACAAAAGGAGAGTTTATGCATGATTATATTTACAAAATCATACAAAACTAAATAATGTAAAGATGTATCAAAAGGTCTCCAAGAAATAAAAACAAACATCAAATCAAATGTTAGAAAGAAACAGGGTTGGGACTGTAGCTCAGTTATAGACAGACTACAGAATTGGAGAAAAGGTTCTCTGAATATAGAGAACCCCAAAGATTCGAACATGGATACCCTAGGAGGTCCCTCTCCCTGGGCTCTGTTCTAGTGTCTTAGGGGAGCACAGGGCTCTGCTCTGTTATGTACTGTCCCTTTCCACAACATTGGAGGTGAAGCTGGGCTACCAGTCTATGCCTGCATATTCCTACAATTTCTCAGAGTCCTGTGGATGGTGACAGAGGAGACAACCCATGCAGGAAACAAAAGGCTGAGGGGAGAGAGAGAGAGAGAGAGAGAGAGAGAGAGAGAGAGAGAGAGAGAGAGAGAGAGAGAGAGAGAGAGAGAGACAGAGAGACAGAGAGACAGAGACAGACAGAGACAGAGACAGAGAAAGAACCCCAAAGATTCAAACCCAAAGATTAATAAATGCTGTGCTGTGAGTTAAACTTCCTGCTCCACCAGCATTCCAGGAAAGATGAAAAAGAGTAGAAGTCCAAATAGGGTGGCCAGATTTTACACATAAAATATAGGTATTTCGGGTGACAACAATATCTGTTAGAACGAGTATATCAATAATGTTGTATGGGTGTTATACACTAAAATATTCCTTTTTTATCTGAAATTTGACTTTAACTGGACCACCTATATTAACGTAGCAATCTCAACTCTAACAGCAATCTCAACTCAGACAGTGATGTGCTGAGCCTAAATTAATGTAGAAATGTCAGGGGTACTGTTAATTAATTGAAAAGTTTACATTTCCAGTATGCCCACCCTTCTCTCACCTCCACACCCCTATGAAACATAACATGGCTACCTAAGTGGTGACATGGCATCTCCGGCTCTTCCCTGACATACTCCACCAAATGGACAGTGCTTCGCCTCTGTTTTCATTCCTGTTAGCATTAGTTAATTGTACGAACTAATGGGTTTCATTGACATTTCATACATATGGATAGACATTGATGATCTTGAATCCCCTTTTACGTCCTACCCTGGCCCCCATTTCCCTCCTTCTACCTCTAAGACCTCCAGATTTCATATATTACCTCTGTTGTTCTTTTAATTATTGTTATATGTTACAAACATATAAATATGTAAACACAACCTGCTGAGTTCGTTAATGTTGCTTGAACGTATGTTTTGAGGGATGACCATTTGGTATTGGATTACCACTTAATAGGCTCACCCCTAGGGAAGACTCATTCTCTCTCTCAGCAGTTGCTAATGTCTGTAGCTCTTCCCCCAGGGGTGGGCCTTATGAAATTTTCCCCATTCATGTTGGCATGTCAACTGGTGCTGTCATTGTTCAGGTCTTGTTTAGGCAACCACATTGCAGAGATTTCACCAGTGCCCTATTTAGAAAATAGAGATTTCCTGCCCTATATAGAAAATAAAAACTCATCTCAGATGCTCTGGTCCTTAGGTGTAGGAACTGTGTTTTAGATCTATCAATTGGTGTTGAGCAGCTCTTTGGTCAGTGTTCTTTGCATTTTGCCGAGTTGTGGTTTGCTTTAATAGTCTCCATATACTGCAAAAATAAAATTCTTTGAAAGGGGTGAGAGCTGTACTTAATCTGTGGATATAAGGGCGTGTGTTTAGAATGTAGTTAGAAACCATACCAGTTTAGAAAAGTGGAAGTGATAGACTTTGCTCTAAATCCCATGGCACCACCAGCCATGGGTAGTTGGCTAGGACTTCTGCACCAGACATGGATTCCCTCCTATTAAGCAGGCCATAAATCCTATTGTAGTTGGCCAAAGCTTTTAGTTACCACCAAGATAGGATACCTTGCTGCACTGGGCATTGTTGTGGTTATTGGTATCACATCTGGGTAGGACTTTTGAATGTTTTTCTTCCTTGGAAGCCTGCATAGCACTTTCTAGCACTTTAAGAGCTAGTCCTTAGGGAGGTTCCAGCTCAATTCTGTGTGAGGTGTTTTCAGCAATAGGAACTTACCCCTAAATTCTGGGAGGCCAACTAAAAAATCTAGGCAATAGTGGAGAGGCTACCTTAAATGCCCTTCCCGAAAATGAGATTGATGACTACCTTAAATGCCATCCAAGAGCCTCTATCTAGTAGCAGATGGAAAAAGAAGCAGACACCCACAGCTAAACACTGATCTGAACTCCTGGAATCCAGTTGAAGAGAGGGAGAAGTGATGAGCAAAGGGGTCAAGGCCAGGCTGGGGAAATTCATAGAATCAGCTGACCTGAATGAGAGGGAGCTCATGGACCCCAGTCTGACAGCTGGAGAACCAGCATAGAACTGAACCAGGCCCCCTGAACTGGGTGTAAGTTAGGAGGCCTGGGCAATCTATGGGGCCTCGGGCAGTAGAACCAGTATTTATCCCTAGTGCATGAATGGACTTTGGGAGCCCATTTCCTATGGAGGGATACTCTCTCTGCCTAGACACACAGGGAAGGGCCTAAGCCCTACCCCAAATGTGTCAGACTTTGATGTTCCCCCATGTAAGGCCTCACCTTCCCTGGGGAGTGGATGGGGGTGGGATGAGAGGACAGGAAGGAGAGGTAACTGGGGTTGGTATGCAAAATAATATTCTTTTAAATTTAAATAAAAATTAATTAATTGGAAAAAAATAAATAAATGGACCTAGTTCTCCAGACTGGCTCTAAAGCGCATTGGACATCATCTTTGAGACGATATCTAATCAGCCACCAGCAGAGGGAACAATTTTCAAATGAAACTCAAAGAGCTTGATTGAAAGCTTCGAGTTCCTCATTCTACCCATATCTGCTGAAGAAAATATCAGATGCTTTAAAGTTTTCATTGTGGATTCCACACGATGGATCATGAGGTAAAGTTTTTCACCACACAAAAAGATCGGAGGAGCAGACCACTCCACAAAGCTGTCCCCTAACCTCGGTACATGCCTGGTACAGGCATACATGTCCGCGCGCGCGCACACACACACACACACACACACACACACACACAAAATACATTTTTTTCATTTGTTTTTGTAATATGGTTTGGGCAATAGTATAATTTATTTGGAGACTGGTTTAAATATCTGTGGAAACAAAAGCAATAAAAATACTCATTTTCTTTCACCTAAATGAAAACAAGGAGTTTAGAGGGAGAGGCTGAGCATGTGTAAAGAAGCCTCCAGTGTTAGGACAACTGCAATAACCGAACATGTCCCTGGCGAGGCAAAGGTACCATATTCAGTTATATAAATGTTTCTTAAACTTGATGGTAAACATTGAGAAACATTTTCTCAGAAGTGCAAATAACTTTTTTCTCCCAGACGGAGGAAAGCTACCAAGGCATTACAGATGCAGTTATCAGGGGTCACATTTTGATATTAGTCCCGAGACTAATTTTTTTTAAGAGAGCAGGCCTGATATCTGCTTTAATTTTCTCATTTAATAGTACATCATGCTTTGATTACTAAAAATTCCTATCGTGACTTTGAAATTTTATACTATTGATAAAAACACTGCAGTAACTTTAAGTTGTCACAGAAACCTGTGTCCAAAACTGCACTGAAAAGTGATTACGCCACAGGAATATCTTAACTAAGGCATTTATAGCAGTTAGCAATTGGAAGCTTCTTGGTCAAGTGAGTGTGGCTTTAAAAACTAAGTTTACACTTAGAGATTGTAATTACATCATTCCCTCCTTTCCTTCCTCCCTCCATTTCTCCATGTGCCTTTGTTTCCTTTAAAAATCCATGGCCTTTTTTTCTTTAAATGTTGCTACGTGTGTGTGTGTGTGTGTGAGAGAGAGAGAGAGAGAGAGAGAGAGAGAGAGAGAGAGAGAGAGAGAGATAGTCCAAAAGAGGCCATTGATAAAAGTGCAGCCTCAGTTGCAATAGAAGCTTCGGGACTGAAGGGGTCATAGAAAGAAGTTGAGGCTTGACTCCGTGTGGCCTTTAGAATGGGGGACCTAGTTTGAAGAGAGTAAGTAGCTTGGGGTAGGCTTTTGAATGTTGGACCTGACCTCTGTTTCTGGCCCACTTTCTGTGTCCTGTTCCACCACTATGTGAACAGTCTATGTCATACACTGCCCACTGCCATTTATGGAGCTGCCTTTCCCATTGTGATAGATTGAAACTCTCTGAAACCAGGAACCAAAGTAAATCTCCCCTTCCTTATATTGACTGCTCTCTGCCAGGTACTGTGTTCACAAAAACATAAAACTAAATAAATAAAATGCAACTAATATAGAAAGTATCCTGGACCTCCACAGACATCTTCAAATTGAAGGGAGTTAAACTAACGAAATGGTATCAATTGGCTATCAAAAAAAAAGGAAATAAAATAAATAAAATAAAATCTTGCTTTTAAGAAAGGATGTATTGGATCAAATTACACAATAAGATCCAGGTAGTTCAACAATCAGTGTCTTACACTAGAGCCGCAAGAATCCAGTAGTAGCTCAATTCACAAGTACAGGTGTCTCAGCCTTCCCAATCCTGCAAGAAAGGCATGGACGAGTCCAGAGCTGATGCTGGTCTTCAGGTCTTCAGTCATTATGGGGAAGCCAAAGACACTGGTTCTAATGTCACTGAAGGAAAACAGCCAAAGTAGAATAGCTGGGCTAGTCAACAAGAGTGAGGACAAGCAGGAAAAACTTCTTTCTGCCATGTCCTTTTATCTGGGCTGCCTCTAGAAGGTACCACCCAACTTTACAGTGGATCTTTACATTTCAAATAATTTTACTTAAAAAAAAAAAAAAAAAAAAAAAAGTCCTTCCCAGCAATGCCCAGAAGGTTGAATTTTAGTTGACTTCGGGTCCATTCAGGTTGACAAAGGCTGGCCATCTCAGAGACCTTCTAGTCAAGGTTCTAGTCAAGGAATGAGGGCCATTTCTATACACATTAAAAGGTAAGAAAGTAGATTTTCCCCTAGTACTCCATCAAGGAATGAGGCCTTGCTCAACCTTGAGACCCAATTAAGACTTAAATTCTCCAATGCTGTAAGAAAGTAGGTTTATAACATCATAAACCACAAACTTCATTTCTTAAAAGAAAAGAAGAGAGGAGGCAGAGCCAAGATGACCATGGCACACATAGCTCCTCTGACAGGCTAGAGGTGGAGACAAACTTGAATCTCCCTTCATCCCTAGCTCTGGGTGCCCTGCTCCAGGCCATAGCTGATGACCTACAGTGGCCATTTGAGGCTTAGTGCATAGATGACAGGTGTCACTGCCACCCTTGTGAAACCCCTCCTGCAAGGATTCTGTAGAGCTCAAAATATCTCCAGGATAATTTTTAAAAGAAGATGTGTGTAAAAAGTGT